GGTCTGTATGTGGGATCCGAACCCTCGATGGGAGCGCCGCCATGCTCCCAAGCGGCGCACTGTAGCAGTGCACCACCGGGCCGGCCCCGATTTGCTCCAGTTTTAATGTTGAGATGGTTTTCTCATTGCACTCGGGTTTCTGTCTTACCTCCCCCCACCCCCTGCCACTCTCATTTGAAGCCAATGCTTGTGATCCTCCCCGTGTTACTGGGTGGCCCATGTGGAGAAGCCCACTGCTGGTGTCCTCCCGCATAGCTGACACCGACCTTCCTTTCAGATGCTGAGGATGTGGTGTGAGTTGGATGAGCAGAGCCGAAGGAGATACCAGAAGAAGGCGGCACCTTGTCCTGACCCCAGTCTGTCTGTCTGGCGCCCTGACATTTACTTTGCATCCGTATCGGAAACATTTGAGAAAAAGGTTGATGACTACAGTCTAGAGTGGGCAGCTCAAGCAGAGAAAAGTTACAAGAAGTCAGAGCTTTCTCTCGACAGGTAACGACTGATTTGCTGCACGGCATGTGCTGGGGAGGATTTGCCTTTCAGGCCCTCCCCTCCTCACTCCTAGGGCTGAGCCCCCAGCAGGGAGATAGTAAAGGGTGCCTTGCAAGCCCCAAGGCCTTAAGCCAGCCAAAAGCAGCCAGGCAGGAGTGGACACCCCCATCCCAGCTAAGCAGGGAAGAGTGTTCTGTTGGTTTACAGGCTTTCAGAAATAACCTCTCGAGTTTGCTGTGGTGGATGTGGTCAAGTGGGACTCAAGGAATCTGGTTGCTGTTCAGCTGCTGCCCATTCTGTGACAAAGGGCAAGTCACTCACTGCCCCGGGACACTGTCTCTGCTTTTCATGGGGGCTTGGATCTGATCACTCCAGTGATCTTTTGAGCTTTGGGTTTCGAGGCCTTGAGGAGGGAAGGACCATGTGAAGGCCTCAGCTTGGACTTGGCCACACACACACACACATGATCACTCCAGTGATCTTTTGAGCTTTGGGTTTCGAGGCCTTGAGGAGGGAAGGACCATGTGGAGGCCTCAGCTTGGACTTGGCCACACACACACACACATACACACACACACACACACACACATCCCATGGTCTCGGTGGGTGGGAAGCTAACACTGAGGTACAGTGGGTTAAAGCATCAACAGTGCCACCCACGCATGCCTGCTTGGGTGTCAGTCTTGGATCCTTCCTGCTCAGCTTCCTTGCCTGGCCTGCAGAGGTGAAAGATTCTGAGGTCATCTGCTGTGGCATGGCTGCCAGTCCTGCTCCTAGTGAAACCCAGTGAGGCACACAGAGAGGCTGGTGGGGTCAGGGAGTGGGATGAACAATGAGAGATGGGGGACAGTAAAGGCAAACGAGCAAAGACGAACACTTGAGTGGAGGAACTGGGGGGCAGGAGCACGGATGTCTCTTTTTGCCCTTTAAAATGGTTTCTGCAGCCAGGCCTCAGAAACTCCTCGGTACAGTAAGTCATGCCAGGTCATCTCAGCTGCCAGCAGGCATTCCCTCAAAGAGGAAGGTCCTGAGTCTCCATTCCTCACCTGCATCCTGGCAGCCCAGGAGGCTGCATTTACCTTCAGAAGGACTAAGTCGGTCCTCCCCCAACTGTGCACATCCCAGGGTGGGGATAGGTTCGCCCTGGTCAGCACCATTTGGGTTTGAAAGGCCAAGTGGGAGGGCAGTTCTGCCTCAACAGCTCTCACAGAGGATTTGTTAGCAAGCAGCAAGCTCTCAGTGGAACTCTGAAGTTCCAGAAGTGGTTAAAGGTGTTTCCTGTTAGGAATACTGGTAGTCACTCAAACCTCATTGGTTGGAGGTCCTTGGGAGAGAAGACAGATGGGTTTAGCGAGAAGTCTGACTTTTAAAAAGAACTTGCATGGGAGTTCAGTTTTGTTACTGTCCCCTGCAGTGGTACCATCCTTCGCCCCACACATTCATTCACACGTGTCCATGTTTGTTGAGCCCCTTCCTTGTCCATGTACTGGGGGAATACAGGGTCCCTCACGGCTGTTTTAAAAGAACAGCTGTCATAGGAAGCAGGGTTAGTAAACGACAGAACTGTGCAGTGTGGATGCTTGTGATGTGGTCTGTGGCCATTTACACCAAGTAGGAAAGTAAACACTCCCTTCCCCACTTTCCCATCACTGTTTTGTGAACCTCTTTCTAATTTGCATAGCAGGAGGTTTAAGCCCTCTCCAAACTGTCACAACCAGTGGGGGAAAAGTAAACAAAGGAAAGTGTGAATAATGAGCCCAGAAGTTCTCACTGCTTAAGGGGCTTGTAGTCACTGGCCCAGAATGGACATGTGACATTCCTGGGGTGAACATGAACAATCCAAGCAGGAACGTCTAGAGCTTCAGCTGCCCAGCTGGGATCTGTGCTACATGACTTTAGGACATCCCAGGGTCACTAGTGGGACTTTAAAGATGAGGGAGATCATTTGCCTAGGAAAAGCAAGCCCAAAGAGAGGTAGAGGTTTTGGGTTTCAGGTTTCTGGTTTCGGGTGGGTGGATAGTGAGTGGTGTCTGCTCCTGACCCCTGTTGCCCGCTGCTGCCTCCAGGTTGAGGACCCTGTTGCAGCTGAAGTGGCAGCGTTCGCTGTGTGACCCAGGCGAGGCTGTGGGCCTGCTGGCCGCCCAGAGCATCGGGGAGCCCTCCACCCAGATGACCCTGAACACCTTCCACTTTGCAGGCAGAGGCGAGATGAACGTTACCCTGGGCATTCCGAGGTACGGGGCTGCATGTGTGCACGGGGTGGGGTGTGTCCTAGCCCTTTCCAGGGGACGGAGTCATTTAACAAGAGGGAAGGAGTGAGTGTGTGTGTGCATGTGAGAGGGAGAGAGAGTGATGGGGATCTCCATTTATCTCTCTGCCAACTCCTGCATCAGAGTCACCTGGGATGCTTGTGAGATGCACTCTGGTGTGGGGGGAGGTGTGTGCATGTGAGAGGGAGAGAGAGTGATGGGGATCTCCATTTATCTCTCTGCCAACTCCTACATCAGAGTCACCTGGGATGCTTGTGAGATGCACTCTGGTGTGGGGGGAGGACTCAGGAATGGACATTGTTAATTAACAACTGCCACACAGGGCCACGTGGTTGCCCAACTCCTTAACCCACGTGGCCCTGGCCCTTCAGGTAAATGTATACACACTGCAGTATCATGACTGCTGAGCATTGGGTCAGACCCACCTGTGTTCAGCCCCTGGCCCTGCCACTTTTTAGCAGATGGACTCTGGACAGGTTCCTGAACTTCCCAAGCCTGAGCATGCCCTCCTAGAATGCTGGAGGCAGGACCCCCACCTAGTCAGGCTGTGCAGGCTAACTAAACTGATGGTTGAGGCTCAGTAGGTGCACTTTGGGTGCCTTCCTCTAATCTCTCAGTCATTCAGTAAGCTCTCAGCAAGCACCTGCTGTATGCAAGGCACAGGTGATAGGAAACCAGCATCAGACACAGCCTTGCCCATTAGGAGCCCGTACTCCAGAGAGGAAGCTGACAGGGGAGCCCTTCACAGTCTCACATGGGGCCAGAGCTGGGATTCTGTCATTCAGCATGCTCCCCTGTGAGATCCCAGGGCCTTTCTCGGATCCCGGAAGAGCTCTAACCTCTTTAGAAGAAGCTTCCCACAAACAGGAGGTCTGGTGACCTCTCATGACCAGATGTGCCCTTGGTCTGTGACAGGTTGAGGGAGATCCTCATGGTGGCCAGCGCCAACATCAAGACGCCCATGATGAGTGTGCCCGTGGTCAACACCAGGAAAGCACTGAGGAGAGTGCGGAGCCTGAAGAAGCAGCTCACCAGGGTGTGCTTAGGGGAGGTAACTGTCTCTCTTGTGCCAGCTGCAGGCTGGGTGGAGGTGGCTGCCCATGTCCCCCACTGTCCATGAAGAATAGACT